AATTTTTTCTACCTATCTTATATGTATTAATTAATAAATTATATTATTAAAAATTAATTTGAGTTATATTATAAAATATTTATAATTAACTACTTTAATCATTTTACATGTTTATAAACTAGTTTTATAAAACATAATTTCTTTATCAGTTATCTTATCAGTCATCAACTAGTCTATCAAACATAGACTTAAACACCTCAATTTAGAAGGTTTGCATAGATGGAAAAACCAATAAAGAGGAGAAGGGCATTTTTGGTTTCTTTTGGGGTGGAGTTGCTAATGTGTTAAGGGAGCATAATTATGTTGATTATTTCCTTATGGGAAATAAACACCTATAATGGTCATTTTAATCACCACTTGTTTTAAACTCCAATGTAGGGGTATAGTTGTCATTTAATTTAGACAACATTTAATATAAAATATTTAATACTAGATGGGTACTCGTGCAATGCAACGAAATAAATCTCGATTTTAATGTTTAGTTTTTATTTTTTGTCTCTATCGATATAATATAATTTTATGTGGTTTTGAGAAAGCGGTAATGTTTTTATTTTTGAATTAAAATATAAATTTGAAAGTAGCATGAAAATTTGTAAAAAATAAATCGATAATAGTATCAAATTAACTATTTAATAGTTCTCATTTTTTCGATGTAACTTCTTTAATTCAATTTTTTACTATAATTTAATTTAGATTTAATAACAAAGTAATTTATTTTTGGTTTAATAATTAACATTTTATAAATATAATAATAATTAAGTATTCTGTTAGAACTCAATGATTATTCTAATTATATTTTAGATTTTTATATTAAAAATGATATGTTTATCCTGTATTTGATTATGTTTATCTGCAGTTAGTTACACGAATTCAGATATGGAGCTTTAATAAGTTGTACTTACGCACAATCTACTTGCAATCTTGAGTTTTAAGTAATATGCATTAATAAACAGTATTTTACGCATAAAAAATTGTTTTTAAGAGTTTTTGTCAAATGCTTTATAATATAATATAGATTTATATAAGTCAAACATTTTATTTCATTCACATATTTTATCTTAATCATCATTTATCTAAAAACATTTATTAAGCACCCCCTTAATAAATTAATTTATATAAACATTTTTAATTTAACATTAAAATCTATTTTTTACATCAATTTAACATAAAAAATAATTGGAACTTAACATCAATTCTTACATCATTTTGATGTTGATGGATATATAATACCAAATTTAGTGTTACTTTCCATTTATACCAACTTGGTGTTAAAGTTATTCCTTTAATTATAAAATGGTCTATCAAGTTTTATATTGTAATGATATTTGTTTTTTATATTATAAATTATATTTATATTAATAATATATTATACATAAGTACAACTTATTAAAGCTTCATTTTTTGAATTCGTGTAATTAACTGTAGATAAACACAATCAAATACAAGATAAACATCTCATTTTAAATATACAAACTCTAAATTATAATTAGCATAATCATTGACTTCTAACATAAATAAGTTACTTCATTATTAAATGTAAATTAAATTATAATAAAAAAATGAATTATATTTTTTTCAAATTTTTATAAGATCTTCAAATTTATATTTTATTCAAAAATAAAAACATTATTGTTTTCTCAAAACCATATAAAAACGTATTATATTGACATCGATAAAAATAAAACAAAATATTAAAATCGAAATGTATTTCGCTACATTGTGCAAGTATCATTCTAGTATATATATATATATATATATATATATGTGTGTGTAATCAGAAAAAAATATATTTAAATAATGTGTATTATTTATTTAAAACGTGGGTTATTATATAACTTTTTTTGTAAATAAAATAATAATTTAGTCGTAATCAATTATGTACAAAATAATTTATGTTAGTTACAGTTGCACGTATTATAATTTATCCAGCTGTTAACTTCAAGATGCAAATAGCCTACATGTGTTGAATTGGATAAACACGCATACTTATTAAAAAAAAAAGTTAAATTTTAATAAAATAAAATACATTTTAGTTTCTTGGTATTTTAGAGAAATATATTGCAACAAGATACGGGTTGTGGTTTATGTGTTTTTCATTAACAATTTTTACAAGAAAATGATTATCAAATATTTAAAATGGTTTTTAATATAACAAAATCCTATAAATCACATCAATTTTACCAATACCTTGTAATAAGAAAACTTAAAGAGGAAATTCAAAAAAAAAAAACCCATCACCTTTTGACATTTTAATTCTATTGGTAGAAAAGTAATAAGAAATTATTAGGGAAATTATCAAAAATAATCATTTTATACATTGTATATTAATAAAATGATCATTTTTCAAAGTTTTTTTTCTTCACAAAATGACCATCAAAATCGTCCTTGGTGGGGGATTTTGACTATTTTAGGGCGATTTTGATTATTTTAAGACGATTTTGACTATAAGATACGGATAGGTCCCATATGTATATCATTTGGGGGACAAAAAAGGGATATTATGTCTGAAAATAGGCAAATTGTTCTCAAAAAGTGAAAATGACCTCATGGGGGCGATTTTGACCTCTATTTCGTCTTCTAGTGAAGACAACTTATAACACAAAGATTGGATGCATCAATGACGATTTGATGAGATATCGGGGGCGATTTTCATTGGTATTTTTTTATTACCAAATGTAATATATATACATATATATATATATATATATATATATATAGGAGCATTCAAATAAAAACCACCTAATTTGTACAAACCGTACAAACTTCATTCAACCAATCATAATTTTTCATTTTGTTCATTTTTTTGTAATTATAAGAGATTGATTAACCATTTTTATTGTGGATGGTGTTAATCATGGATATTATCATCTTCATTATTTTAATTTTAGAGAAATACATGAAACAGTTTTATTAAATATTATATCAAACAATTTCATAACCATATATGAAACAAATTCATCAAAAAAAAGAATTATATGAAACAATTTCACAAGATTAAATAATTTAATAAAAAATTTCATAAGATTAAACAATGAAATCGACGTATGAGAGTGGTTTGTACGGTTTGTACAAATGAGGGTGGTTTTCATTTGATCGCTCCTCTCTCTATACACACACACACACTAGAAAATACTCGCGCAATGCAGCGGGATATATCTCGATTTTAATATTTCGTTTTATTCCGTCTCTGTAGAGGTCTTACTATGGTTTTGAGAAATGGATAATGTTTTTATTTTTGAATAAAATATAAATTTGAATATATCATAAAATTTCGAAAATAAATATATCAATATTAATATCAAATTAAATATTAAATTTTTTTGTTTTTTGTGTAATTTATTTAATTCATTCTTTGTATTATAATTTAATTTAGATTTGATAACGAAATAATTTATTTTTTATTTAATAATATAACTTTTTATAAGAATAATCATTGACTATTTTATTATAACTCAATGATTATCCTAATTATATTTCAGATTTTTTATATTTAAAATGAAATGTTTATCTTGTATTTGACTATATTTATCTACAGTTAGTTACACGAATTCAAACATGAAGCTTTAATAAGTTGTACTTACGCACAATTTACTTGTAATCTCATATTTTAAGTAATATGCATTAATAAACAGTACTTCATTAATAAAAAATGATTTTTAAAAGTTTTTGTCAAATGCTTTATAATATAGTGTGTGTGTGTATATATATATATATATATATATAAAGCTTGTAATATTCTCTATAAAATTGTAGTGATCCAAACACTTCTATTCTCACAACCCTTAACCCGCCATTTTGAACACACATTGAATTATTATCACTTTGACATGGTTTCATATTTGTATAAGGGTTGTGATGGTAGATTGTGTTTAAGGGTTAAGAATTGTGAGAGTAGAAGTATTTGGATCACTACAAATTTTATAGAGAATACAACAATATATATCTACTATAAGGGTTGTGATGGTAGATTGTGTTTAAGGATTAAGAATTGTGAGAGTAGAAGTATTTGGATCACTACAATTTTATAGATAATACAACAATACATATATATATATATATATCTACTATATTTTGCCCTAAAAAGGACAAAATACTAATGAAATTGGCCCGATGTCTCGTCAAATCGTCATTAATGTGTCAAATGGTTGCGTCATAAGTTGTCTTTACTAGAAGATGGAATAGAGGTCAAAATCGCCCCATGATTTGGACAAAATAAGGGCGATTTCATATATATCATATATAATATTATTTTTGTTCCCCAGATGGTATACATGTAGGACCCATCCGTACCTTATATTTTGATGGTAATTTTGTGAAAAATCTCTGAAAATCATTTTGTTAACGTAGCGTGTATAAAGTTACCATTTTGGATAATTTCCCAAATTATTATCCAACAACAACTTGATGAAAAATTACAAATTAAGTTTTGTGACATAATAATTATATACATAATAAAAATGGAAGATCAAGTAATATATAATTATGATTTAAAGAGATAACTTGTATTTTAAGTTTCATTAATACATTGAAAAACGTAAATAAAAATGGATTTCTATATTAGGCTTTGGTATTTGGAGTCATGGGTTTATATTAATTTGGAAAAAAACCTCTAATTAAAAATAGTATCTTTTAGATTCTCTATGATTTATTAAAAAACTAAAACATTTAAATAATCACACATTCAACTACTTCAAAAGATCATCTATTTTATACATTCCAATATTTGTTAAACTATTTAGCAGATTTAATATTTCAATAACTTTTATATATTTTGTATATTTAGAATCAGTATTTAGAACATCTTCAACAACTATGTTAAAGTAAAAAAAAATTTAACGATACTGTGCTAAATAGAGAGAAGAATTATTATTTTAATATTTTCCACCAGTAAAAAATATTTATAATAAATGTTTAGGAAAGAAAAATAATATTTTATTAAATATATTGAGTATTTTAAAATTTTGTTACAAACAGAGTAACTGTTGGAGTTGAATTTAATTTTTTTTAAAGATTTTAATTTTCGATATTTTATTATGGAAAACGTATAACATAATTGTTGAAGATGTCCTTAAAAACTAATCATAGATGTAATAAAACTGATTATGATTAATATGAAATGAATTTATATATATTTACATCTATATATACATGAATATATATATATATATATATTAAAGTAATTGTTATAGCTTCAAATAATTGACTTTTAAACATTATCTATATATTGCATCAATCAAGATTTATGTTTAAAATATTCTGTGACAAATAAAACAAGTTAAAGGTTTTACCAATTACCTTGGAACGTACTTGATTTTGTTGTCAAACAATTAAGAATTTGTCCGCATCTACGTAATTATTTTTAGATTTTCACCTTCTCACTCAAATTGAAAATCCACTGCATGTACGGATGTTTGAGATTACTTATAAAAACAACTTATTAACTTATTTCGGTGTGACATCAGTAATAAACACTTCTGGGTATTCGGATAAACAACTTATACTTGTGTCAAACCGATAATAAGAAATTTTTGAAGAAGTTAAATCATTCTGACTTATAATAAGTGATAAGTGCTTTTGTAGAAAAACATAAATTGTTTTAAATAAGCAATCACAAACACCCCTAATTAAAATGAATATTTCTTATAACTTATATTTTATAATAAAAAGATAAAAAAAAAAAAAAAAAAAAAACTTGAGGATAAGATATATCCTTACATTTTCTCACCATTAAATGTTAATATAATGAACTTTAGGATTTTTATCAACAAACATGGATTAAAAGAAATTACATATATATATACACATATATATATACATATATATATATATATATATATATATATATTTTGGTTTGCTTCATATGTATCCGGTCATAATGTAAAAGTTCTTTTACATGTAACTTTTGTTTTACAATCATGTTAACAGGTTCCCATTGTGAAACAAATGCATGTTAATATTATAAATCCTAATTTTAGATAAAAAAAAAAGAATCATATGAAATAAGATATGATACATTAGTCGTTAACGTTATCATAATTTCATGGATTTTCAATCATCTATATATATATATATATATATATGTGTGTGTACTGTGTGTGAGAGTGAGAGAGAGAGAATGTAGAGAATATGTAAGAGAAGGAACCTAACCTTCAACTCGAATTCAGATCGATTAAGCTTTAAGAGGTATAATATGGCAAACAAATCGTCGGTGTCAACATCGGTATCCACAAGAATCCGGTGAGGAGCGCCGCCGTGGACGGTGGAGGTGGCAAATATTCCGATTATAGATATGATGAGAAGCAGAGATAAGGAAGACGACGACGAAAGCCGTAACTTCTTCATTACTCCCAATAGCAAGCTGCAAACCTAATCACCTCATGGCAGTCGACTTACACCTTTATATAAAAAGTTTGACTTCTTCTCCAATAGGAAGAGTCTCACCAACCCTCAATTATTATTGTATTATATATATATATATATATATATACACACATATATATATATATATATATTTACCATTGTACATGTGTTCTTTGTACTAATATGTATGGAGATTTCTTTTTTAAAATTAAGGTATTATTTATTGAACACTTATCAGGAAATGTTTTAGTCAATAATAATATCACTTACTTATTAGTTAAAATTTAATAATATCACTTACTTATCAGGAAATGTTTTAGTCAATAAAAACGATATTGTATGCAATAATTTACCTGGTAAGCTTTAATTGTGGCAAGTGTTATCCCTCACCTACTGGGTTAGATTCATGGTCATTTCTATATTCATCCAATAAGGTAATTTGACTTGGTAAGCGTTTACCTGGATAAACGTTTGGTAAACGAGCCCCTAAATGATTATTTATTTAACGTTGTACATGTATTTAAAACAGATATTGAAGTATTGAAAACTGATATACGATAGATGGCCCGCAATTGAAATGTATGTAGAGAGTGAAAATAACTGATTGGATTTTGTGTTCAGTTTCCTTTAAATACTAAGGGTGGACCTGGTGTCCTACCAAGTTTTTTTTCTCTGGGATTGATCTGAAATCTGATTCAAATCCAACATAGCACCCATAAGTACATAAGAAATGTACCATGTACCAACAAATTATAATTGATACGCAAAATCTTATACCATGTACCAACAAACTTAATTGCTATCTACTTTTTTTGATTGGTACATGTTGGTATCAGTTTTATACGAACTTCAAGTTACATATATAAAAAACTTATCATTATAATCAAATTTTGAATGATATTTTGAGTTTTCAGTTAACACATGTGATATTTAATAATTTTAATTGCACCGACTAAGGGGGTGTTTGTTTTTCAAAAAAAACCACTTAATACCTCTTATGTCTGAATCGGTCAGACCTTGAGGTATTAAGTGCGTTTGTTTTTTCTTTCAA